GCCGCACCGTCTCCTCCGGGTCGATGTCTATCTTGAAGGTCTGCTGCTGCAGCGTCTTCAGCGTGACCTGCATGGTGGCTGCTCGGCTTTAAGGCCCCGGCCAAGCCTACGCCGCAAGCTGCCTCCGAGAGGGCGACGGGCAACAGCGGTAGCTTCGCTCGGGCTTCCCCCCAACTCACTGCCGCGGCCTAGGCTGGCTCACAGGGCTCTGGTGGGAGAAAAGTGGGGGAGGGGCGAGGGAGGAGCTGGAGGCGGGGCTAAAGGGAAGCTAACGTACGCTCGCGGGTTCGCGCGCGAGTGAGGAAAAGAGGCGTGAACAGGAGCCTCGCGCTGGGCTCAGGGCCCAAAAGCAGTGGCGGCCGCCATGATGATGACGCAAATGAGGACGGGTCCTCGGGACCGACCGTCCGTCCTTTCCCCAGCTTCCAAGTAAAAGGAAAGGAAAGGTTTCAAGCGCGTCACGTGCGCGAGCGGGAAAGGAGGCGGGGCGGAGCTGTTATTTTGAAAAACTGGTAGAAGAACTACGCATGTGCCAACTTTGTTTCGGCTGGAGAGGAGACTCGCTGGAGGCGGGGAAAAAAAGGGACAACAGAGGAGATGGGAGGACGAGGAAAGGGTCTGGAGGAGGCAAGCCAGCCCCCCGCCGCCTCGTGACACTTCAAGCGCTAACGAATTCTGTCTCGCACGCGCTTTCGGGGCTTGACAAATCATCATACGGGCGGGGCTCCAAGTGAAGCGGGTGGAGGCTTCAAGGGTCCACAAGACGGTTGGTTTTCTTGGCTTGTCGTTCAACTCTCTTCAAAATATATATATATATATATTTGAGAAAGGAAGTTGACTTTGAGGAGAGGAAGTGAAACAAAAATAAAGCGGAAACCTACGTACCTGGGCACTGAGAGAGAAATTCGCCCCGTTGGACAGGTTGAAGTGTTTCCTTGGCTTTTGCTTTCTTCAGGTTTAGCCCCCAGCGTTTCTCACCCTCGTCTTCGAGGACGGTCTCTCCGTGGAGAGGGCATGCCCCTCAGTTCACATACCTCGTAGCTACAGTGTGTGCCTTTTAAAAAAATCTATATGTATATGTCTCTTCTCCCGATTCAGGACCCCAAGGGGACTTGCAAATTATTAAAATCAAACAGACTAAAACGACAATAAATTGCAAAGTGCATTGGCTTCTGTTGTATTTCTTCCTCGCCTTTCTCCCTGCAGAGTAATCCAAGGCAGTTTATTCAATTGCGATGGATCTGGCCCAGTTTGAAACGAATGTAGCCGCCCAGAGTAGATTCGTTGTATCTAGATAGGCGGGGTAACAGACGAAAAATAAATTCAATGAGTAAATAAATGTCTGGTAGAGTCCTGTACAGTACACACATCTACTCGGAAGAAAGACCTATTCAGATTAATCGGCCCTTTTAACACAATACCTAGTTGGATAGCTCAGTGGTTTAGGTTGAATTAAAGCCAGTCGGTGTGGCCTTGGGCAATCCCAGGATGGCCCCAAAAGAAGAGAAGGATAAACCACTTTAGAATATTCTCTAGTTAGAAAACCCAGGAAAGGGTTACTCTTAAGTCAAGACTGACTTGATGGCACATGATTATTACCTTAAGTCTTTAATCTTTACCATTATCTCAGTTTCCACTCTACATGATCGGAAAACAAATTTTCCAGGTGATTAATTCGAAAAGAGAGCCATCATAACAATGTATAAAATAATAATTGGAGACCCTCCACACACCCATTTAACAGGGTATTTGTAATCATGTTTTCTCATTTGCAAAAATGCTTTTTAGTACATTGTCTCAGAAGTACCACAGAATATGTCTAACAGCATAGTGTGTATATAAATAGGCTTTTAACAATTACAACTAAATCCCTGAACTCCATTTTAGCAAATAATTTTAATATTTTCTGTGTTTTAATCTTTTAATTTAATTTTAAATCATATACGCCTTATTTGATTTGTCTTTTAATATTTAACTTATTGTGTTTGTAATTGTGTGAATTTTAATGTTGTGAGCCGCTTTGGGTCCCTTGTTGGGAGAAATGTGGCATCATCATCATCATCATCATAATATAGTCCGAATCATAATAAAATCTTGTATGTAACATAATTGCCAGTATTATGACATCAAGGGCAAATCCAGTCAATAGAACTTATTGCCTAGAGTCAAGGATAGCCATGATGTGCCACTTGAAAATCTTAAGAGAAGCCCCAGCCCCGTCACTGGATGCCCAGACACAGAACACTTACTACTACGATTTTACAGGATGCTCATAATATAAGCCCTACCCCCAAAATAAGACCCAGTTAAGTGAAAATCCGTCCTCCACCATTGTGCAACAACCAGAAGAAGATGACATAACTATTTGAAGAAATGTAGATTGTTGTACATGAAAAAAATAAAACATCCTCTGAAAATAAGCCCTAATGGATTTTTGGAGCAAAAATTAATAGAAGACCCTGTCTTATTTTCAGGGAAACATAAGTATTTCCGCACTGCTGCTTGCAGTAAGGGAAATGAGAGCCCTTTCTGCCTGTAAGAAAAAAGAATTATGAAGCACATGTGTATGTGTATATATTTTGTATATTAATTTTAGTTATATTTTAGCTATTTGGCATTGCTATTTGATGACTAGGTGAAAGTGGAGTTGTACAGCTATTATTTAACATTGTAGTTAATGCTGTAGTGCATCCTGATTTACATCTCCACAACATCTTCTGTGGCACAGTGGTTAAGCTGCTATACTGCAGCCAAAACTGTGCTCACGATCTGGGGTTCAATCCCAGGTAGCCGGCTCACGGTTGACTTAGCCTTCTATCCTTCCGAGGTCGGCAAAATGAGTACCCAGCTTGCTGGGGGGGGGGGATGTGTAGCCTGCATAATTAACTTGTAAACCGCCCAGAGAGTGCTTGAAGCACTATGGGGCGGTATATAAGCAGCATGCTTTGCTTTTGCTTTAATAAAACAGAAGAAAATTATTCTTGAAAAACAACAGGAAAGAGATTGTTCTTAAATAGGGTAAAAGGTAAAGGGTTCCCTTGACATTTAGTCCAGTCGTGTCTGACTAGGGAGTGGTGCTCATCCCCGTTTCCAAGCCGTAGAGCCAGCGTTTATCCGAAGACAGTTTCTGTGGTCACGTGGCCAGCACGACTAGACAAAGAGCGCTATTGCCTGCCCACTGTGGTGGTACCTATTTACTCACATTTGCATGCTTTTGAACTGCTAGGTTGGCAGGAGCTGGGACAAGCAACAGGAGCTCACTCCATCGCATGGATTCGATCTTAGAAGTGCTGGTCTTCCGACCTTGCAGCATAGAGGCTTCTGCGGTTTAACCCTCAGCACCACCATGTCCCTTAAATGTTCTTAAATATATTATTTTAATATAGGTGTGATCTGAACTGTGTTCAAATTACTGCTTATTTAAAGAAATGTAAAACTCATAGATGGAGAAATATAAAATGATGTAATGTTGTACCATCCTTTTCAGTTTTTTAAAAAAGCCACAAAGAATGTGCTTGTTAGTCCTATGCCAGTTTCACATGGATTAGAATAGCCTTAGTTGATTCACCGGACATTTCCCAAAGTTATGTAGCTATTCAAACTAGAAACATTTTGCACTGTTGGAGTGGCTCCCTATCTCAGGGAAGGGCACTGACATGCCTAAGTACATCCCTGGTGTGTGGGACCCTTGTAAAGGTGGAGTGTGCACACTCCGTGTCCAGCCATGACTATATAGGCTTACAGCCTTTGCCTTAAGTAGTCCTAAGCACACTTATTTAGCAGTAACTCCAAGTGAACTCCTTTTGGTGGTGCTCTGGGAACATGTAGCTTGACCAAGATCACACACGCTGGCCCTTCTCCTACAAGGCTCCGTAGTGAATTAAACTCCTGACGCCTGTATCCAACTTGCTGTGCTATCCAGCCAGCAGAAATGGTATATAGATGATATTATCAAATGTTCTTGTTGTCTGTAGGTGGTACAGTAGAAGATTGGTATTTAAGCTTAATAATAATCAGTAATTTGGCAAGCCGGGTAGGTGGGGCTCGTCAGCCATGGAAGGCAGCCCATCTAGGAGAAGGAAAACTCCGATTTCAAACCTCCACTGCCTTGTGGCTATATCCACTCATTGAAAAGGCTTCAGGAGTTAACCTTGAGGCAAAATCCGGAGCTGGAGTCCTGAAGGCAGCATGTGTCGTTCTGCCAACTCCTGCGACGTTGCTGGAACCAGTTGTATTGGCTCTTCTTTCCTTTGGACCATTTCAGCAATGTGGAGAGGGGGGATCTGCTGCTTGGGTAACAGCCTATCCTCCATATTACCTTACCCGGGCTTCATGCTCTGGAGAGGACACTCCTCGATTCAGAGCATGTTATCATAGTCTCTCGAGACTGAAGGATGCCTATACCTATCTCCTGAGACTTAAGAAAAGTTTGTTGCAGCAATTACTAACGTGTCTAAATCTTACTTGCAGACGGGTGCAGCCTGAAACTGCTTGGTTAGAAAACATGGTTTGCCAGAATTCTGTTTACTTATGTGATCGTGTGGAGATGAAACACATGAGTGCCCCTCCCCAAGAAGGCTCTCCTTTAAGTGGCTGAGCTTGCACTGGTTGCGAAATTGGTCATGAACCTGGTTGCATTGAGGAGAGTCCAAAGGAGGAGAGAAATCACTGTGCAACTGTTGTTTTGTGCACACTTTTTCTCCAACTGGATTTTAGCCTTTGCATTCAGTGTACCTTATGCACTGGATGGCAGGATCATTGACAGCTGCAACCATTATTTCTAAATACACTTTATTATCTTGTCTGTGTTTTTACAGTATACTGTATTAGACAAAGCATCTTCATGTCAAATTGATAACCTGGCAGCTTCACTTGGAAAAGAAGTCAAAGCAGAACCAATGTACATTTCAGAAAAAAATATGTACAAGAATGACTGAGACTTTTCCATTTCTTAGGGTAGCTAAAAGTCAGCCTCGTTTAGGACATCTATATTTTTGTAATGTGCTTTATTTGGAGCTGCCCTTCAAGATGACATACACTGCAGCTAGCACCATATGCAGCAGCTAATCTTGTGGCAGGAAATCTGCATAGACACTACATAATACCTATTTTAAAGGCTGCTAGTACCTTCTGGTCAATATTTAAGGTATTTGTTGTGGGATCAATATATTTGAGGGAAGTGGTTTATTTATTTGAATCAAGAATTCAGTGTACCTTACTTATATACAGTGGTGCCTTGATTTACAACCATAATCCGTAACTTGAAATGGTCGTAACTCGAAGCACCATTTCCCATAGGAATGCATTGGAATGTGATTAATCCATTTTAACTGCTGTTTTTGTTGTTCTATAACAATGTTTATTCTTTACTGTTGTCATTTATTTTATTGCAAACCACTATGAAGAGGAAGTTAAACCAGTGTAAAACAGGCT